GAAAGAACTGTCTGTGTAAACTAAGTGATACATACCCACTGTTTCTGGAGTAGTGTTGTTCATTTCAGTCCAATGAAAGGTGTGCTGCTGTCCCTCTGTTGAGGAAGACACACAACACAACACTGTTAAAAAAAACACCACAATTGCTCAAACCTATTTGCTTTGTATTGCTTTTATTTGATTAGTTTGTTATGATTATTATCGTTTTCCCTTATTGTTCTATTTACTTTTATTTGGAATGTTTTTCTTGAGTTTTAAAAAATGTTTTATATGGAAAAGAAGCCTGGAAATACCATGTTTTGCTACCTTACTTGTGAGAGAAAAAACACAACATTGAATAACAATAAAGGCAGTTATGAGATTTTGTTTGCAAAGTATTTATTTATGTGCCACACAATGATATGGTAAAGAAGTTAAAGTCTGTAGGTCAAGATATGACACCCTACAAATAGCTTCATCTAATGTATTTGCTCTCAGTTTTGTTCAGCAACAACTTTCCATTGTCTTGAATTATGTCAAAGCTTTAGTTATAATCCAACCAAGAAAAGAGACAAATGTGTTATTAAAGGTAGGGTAGGTAAGTTTGAGAAACCGGCTCGAGATACACTTTTTGTTATATTCCATGGAATGCTCTTAACATCCCGATAGCAATGAATATCTTAAGTGCTTTGACAAAAAATCCATAAAAAAATGTCATCTGTGGAAGCCGTAATAGTGTAAAAAGTACGACCAATCATTTTAGCCGTCCCGGCTAAAATAACTGGATGGCCTACCTGCCTGTCAGCCTTCCATCGGGGCACAAACTTATCTCGTGCCCTCATTGGTCATGTGCGCGTTCGTGTGTGTTGGAGGAGGGGCTCTATAAGGAAGTGGCAGATTTTCTCCGGTTGTGTATTTTCAAATTCTAGCGATCTCGAGCCGCCACCGGGTTTTGCTCTTCAGTGGCCAAAGACTTCTCCAAGAACTGCACTCCAGATTTCAGATCTCAGGGGAGAATTTTCTTTTGAAAAGCAGTGCGGAGACCAGTGGCCTAAATGTTTGCCACCTTATTGTGTGAATTGATTCAACTAATGTTCAATAAAAGTGTTGACATTTATATTTCAGCTTATCTCTCTTATGTCTTTTCAGAGCTGTAAATAAACTAAGCTAAAGTATTTCTCAAAGGTATTGTGTTGGAAAACAGAACCATCTGTATATTGAGAATTGCAGCAGTACATTTGTATTTAACTAATACCTGTTATAATATTAAAGTAACAGTCATCACTCATATGTTAGTGTTCAGGTAGTAAAGCTAAGGTATGATTGTAAAACTTGGTTGGATCACTCAATTCCTTTTTACCTAACCAATATCTGAGTCCTTTTCATCCAATATTATGATTTCATTGCGAAAATGCAATCAAAAAATAACAATCAAACAGAAAATATGTATGTATTATAAAAGTTATAATAGGACAGCTTTAGATGACATTTTCAATTAAAATAGTTCTACATTGACATATTTCTAATGTCAGTGTTCATGTCTCCTATCCACAGTGAGCATCTTGCAGTTAAAGTAAAATAATACAAAATATTAAAAGTGCTATAGCATGGGCATATAGGTTGTGTATAATTGTTTACAATGAGTACTTTTGATTTTCATAGATCAAGTATGTTATTTAACATTGTATAAAACAAACAACACCTTACAGTATATTGAATTAAGGAGATGTACTTAATGTAAGAAGATATTCTTCCATTGGGGCTTTACCAATTTAAGTTTTAGTAGAATTCATTACCTCCACCCTTAAGTAATTTTACAGGATAATCAGCCATATTAATTTGAGTTAATCCTATAAACAAAAAAACATACACAAAACATATTAGTAAGCACATTTTTTAATTGTGATTTGTTTTAACCCTCCTGTTATATTCGTTTTTTGTAACAGCAATAATATTCGTGGGTCAATTTGACCCACTGAATGTTTAATTATCCAAAAATTGTCAGAAGCCCCAAAATCCACATTTTCTTTTGTACATAGTTTGTACCTTTTATTACTATCAATGAAATCAATATTTAGTGCAATTGTGTTATTCACCTCTCACAGATCATGGTTCCATTAGAATAAGTCACTCGTTTTTCACAAAACATATACATATTCTTTTTTACATTGGAAAAACCTTGATATAAAATACATTAGTTTTGCATAACATATCATTTTTTAAATTACTTTTAAAATGTTCTAACTTTTTTTCCAATTGGTTGATGTTGATAAATAGAGACGAGACACCTCTTCTGTTCAGGGTCAAATTGACCCGTTCACTTAGAATCAAGCCAAATTAGTCATAAGGATTTGTATTGAAAGTATTTGATTGTAACAGCAATTAAGAACGTGTGTGTGTGTGTGTGTGTGTGTGTGTGTGTGTGTGTGTGTGTGTGTGTGTGTGTGTGTGTTCGAGTGGGGTAGTGTGTCCCCTTCTAGCCTCCACTTTCACTGCCAGGTGCGGGGTATCTGTCTGTCTGTCTGTCTGTCTGTCTGTCTCTCTCTCTCGCTCTGTCTGTCTGTGTGTGTGTGGAAAATTACGATATATATACCGTATATCCCATTTGAGCCCTCTGACCCCTTCTAGCCTCCACTTTCACTGGTGTGTGTGTGTGTGTGTGTGTGTGTGTGTGTGTGTGTGTGTGTGTGTGTGTGTGTGTGTGTGTACGCGCATTTCTGACCCCTTTTAGCCTCCACTTTCACTGCCGGGTCAGATTGACCCGAATACCATCTCTGTGATATAGACATGTAGGGGGGGGTTCCAAATGCATGACATGAACCATTTTCATTTTACTTGTTTATTGCACTAATTAAGGTAAGGAGAAGAAGTTTCATACAAAAAAAAATACTTGAAAGTATTTTTCGTAGATTTTCAAACTTTCAAACGGGTCAATTTGACCCTGAATGTAACAGGAGGGTACAAGTTTACATGTTCTGAGTGCAGAAACATTCTTCATCTCACTTGCTTCCAGTTGGTCCGACTCAAAAAGGACTTTAACAGTCCAGACATAGTGCCGTTAGTTACGCTAGCTAGCTAGCTCACAGCAGATCTGCAAAAATATCGGAAAGAATAATGCGATCAAATTGTTAAAATAAGCCAATAAAACGTACACTTAAGGTACGCTTCCAGTGACGGTGATAGTTGGCTAACTGGGTGGCCTCAAAAACACATTTTCCCTGAAACATTCTGTTGACATTACCAGTGAAAAACAAATGGTTAGATATTTGATGTCTGAAGTCCAGTGTCAATGTGTTTAGTTGCTCAACCAGGCCATTACACAATAGGTTGATGTTTTACTCACGTCTTTATTTTGCCATTAGTCATTGGTCAATGCACTGCCTGGGCTGAAATAAGGAGAATAAGAATACAAGGGGGCTATATTTCCATCAATTCTAGAAGAGACAGCTGGACATAAAGACAGACATGAACGAGAAAAAAACGATTGTGTTTTCTGTGCTACTGCTGCTGCTGGGGTGCACGTGGACCATCCAGGCAGACGTTGATGAGGATGAGGTGACTGGCTGACCTCTTACTAAACATTATGTTGGTTACATGTACATTGCTGTGGAATATTGTATGGCTGTTGGTTCTTTATATTAATGATCTGCTGTGCAAACATTTAGAACGTGTTTTACCCTTATCTTGAAACATGTTTAATTGAATGTTTAGTGGAATATTTGTATAAAAGTTTTCAAATGTCTTGTCTGACTGTCTGTCTTTGGCTCGGAAACAGGTGGAGAAACCTGTGAATCCCGTGGCTCCTGCAAACGTGGAAGACTTCAATCTAACTCTGCTCTTTTCAAGTATGCCCGATAGAACCTTGTTCAATGCAACAGGTAAGAGATTCATTTACTTAGCCCGGTACACTTGATGTGCAGTGAGGCTAACTGAGTGCTGTATGGTAGTACATTAGAGATCCTGAATCTGATGTTAAAGTTCTAACTAACGTTGTCTTCCCCTTCCTGTTCTCTCTCTCCCTGCAGAGGACTGTAAAAAAGCACCAGAAGCAGGTGCTTGTAGGGCACACATGGAAAGGTACTTCTACAACCCCTCCACAATGACCTGTGAGATCTTCATCTATGGAGGGTGTCTGGGCAACCTGAACAACTTTGAAGATAAGGCAAAGTGTATGGAGAGCTGTCACACTGCAGAAGATGAGGATGACACAAAAAATGGGTCTGATTAATTATCCCATGTTGCTTTGAAAACACACACCAATTTAGACTACAGCTGACAAGTGTTATCTGTCTCAGCTTTTGGACTGTCTGTATCACGATATTAAAGTTTAAAATGTTACTTGTGCTGTTTTCTGTTTATTTATTTAACCTGGATCAGTAACAGCATTAAAATGCTTTACAAAATAGTATTTAATCAGGGAACGGCCTGAATCAATAAACATATTTGGCATTGCTATAAAGAACCAGTTTTTTGTCAAGAATGGTCCTGCTTCATGAAACAAACTAAACAACAAATGTGTCCTTCACAAGTAGGGCTACATATGTTTAAACACATGAATACATATCAATGTAAGGGAATCAAACATGAAAAGGTGAGTAACGGTAAACTTTCTTCAATCGTGTGTGTGATGAGTGGAAGCAGGAAGCAAGGTGTCCCTAATTGTAGCTGCAATAAAACATAAAACATGAAACTTTACAACTGTATACAGCTGCTGCTACAGACAGTAAATATTGTAACCATAAAATATAATGTGAAATTCTCAAATATCAGAATAAACACAATATACAGTATGAGAACATGTTATCTACAGCTTGATCTGATTACACCACACATCAAACATTAGGAGTAACGAGTCTTTCAAAAAGTCCTTTCCGTGATATAAGGCTATATGAATACAAATAACTTGACTTGACCGTACCATACACTCTGTCTATTCTTTTTTTGTATTTGTTCAAGAAGCAAATAAGCACTACCTCAGCAGATAACAGTAACAAACAAGAAACAACAGACAAACAAACATAGTCATCCAGTGTTTTTATTGGTGGTCTGCTGTAATATAACTTCCACTGTTGGGGAGAAACTGATAATATGGAACAGTGTTATGTGATTAAATTACCATATGAAAGTGTTTGTGATCAATACAGTTAGTTGCATGTAATCAAATGACAGTTATGTAACAAATTTAAGTAACAAATGGGTAACAACCAAATGTAATGTTTGTCTATTAAAAAAATATATTGACAAATATCAGTGTTGAATACTGTTCTTACATTTGTTAGAGAAATCTAAAATAAATCAAATATAATACATTTCATAACTTATTACGTTTTTAAAAGGGTAACTAGTCATCTGTTTTATATTACATTTATAAATTGACCTTCCCAACACTTCAGATATACCATGAGAGATGACTCTTTATTGGGATGCTGATTCAAGTTGCATCTCTGTATTATGATGAGCAGTTTGCTCAGTTTGCCTTCAGGAGCTCTCCTTCTGTAAAAGACCAACAATACATAATTATTTCATCATATCTGGGTGGATATTTCCATTTTTGTGTGTGTTTAATAACCCCTCACCATCATTGACCACCCCGCAGTACTCGTCACACTCGGCCTTGCTGTAGAACTTGTTGGCGTTGCCCTGGCAGAATCCCTGTTTGTACGGCACACAGAGGCCCACGGAGGAGACGAAGGCCCAGACAGGCAGCTGGCCGGTGCACGGCATGGCCGCCATTGGCAGGCGGCACACAGCTGGAGACACAACGGAGGAGAGTTCATATTGTCATGCATATCCAGGGCAGGGCTAGGCAATTCATATTACACGACTACTGAATATTTGAAGGAAAAAAATATCCTCTTTAACTTTTTTCATTGTGTTATTTAAGAAACCTATCTGTTAGTGCTATAGCCAAATTTAAGGAAGAGATTCCATCAATACTTAACTCGATAGCATGTCTGCATGTAAGGGAGGAAACTTATACAAAATGTACACCATCCCAAATTGATCATGTTGTTGATAGTGCTACAGATGCCCTGCGAATAAAATTAGACTCTGTTGCTCCTTTGAAAAAGAAGAAAATAAAACAACATAGACTAGCTCCATGGCATAATGCCGAAACCCGCAAAATAAAGCAAAAGTCGAGACAACTTGAAAGGATATGGCGTTCCACTAAACTTGAAGAATCTCGTTTAATTTGGCATATTACTCTCAATGAATATAAGAAAGCACTGCGTAAAGCGAGAGCAGCTTACTACTCTCCATTAATAGATGACAATAAGAATAATGCAAGATTTCTTTTCAGCACTGTAGCCAGGCTGACAGAGAGCCACAGCTCTATTGAGCCTTCTATTCCCATAGCACTCAGTAGTAATGATTTTATGTGCTTCTTTAATGATAAAATTGTTACTCTTAGAAACTAAATCAATGACCTCTTGCCTTTGACCAGTATAGCTTAGACCCAATTCCAACCAATTATAGACCTATTTCTAATCTTCCGTTCCTCTCAAAAATTCTTGAGAAAGCGGTCGCAAAACAGTTGTGTGATTACTTAAAAAACAATGATTTATTTGAAGATTTTTTGTCTGGCTTTAGAACACATCATAGCACAGAGACAGCTCTGGTTAAAGTCACAAATGACTTTCTAATAGCCTCAGACAAAGGACTTGTCTCTATTCTTGTTTTGCTCGATCTCAGTGCTGCATTTGATACTATCGACCATGATATCCTATTGCAAAGACTAGAGCACTTAGTTGGCATAAAGGGAACTGCTTTAGGCTGGTTTAGGTCCTATCTATCTGAACGCTCTCAGTTTGTGTGTTTCAACGATGAATCTTCCATGCAAACCAAAGTTAACCATGGAGTGACACAGGGCTCAGTGCTTGGACCTATTTTGTTCACATTATATATGCTTCCGTTAGGCAATATTATAAGGAATCATTCTGTAAATGTTCATTGTTATGCGGATGATACTCAACTATATTTATCCATCAAGCCTGATGAAACCAATCATCTAAATAAAATTCAAGACTGCCTCAAGGACTTAAAAACGTGGATGACCTTAAACTTTTTGATGTTAAACACGGCTAAAACTGAAGTTATTGTACTCGGCCCAAAGAATCTACGAAACAAGGGCATTGCGTTCCAAGAATGCAGGGTTGTTGGTTGTTCCTAGCGTCTCTAAAAGGCTCTGGGAGCCAGAGCCTTTTCTTATCAAGCTCCACTTTTGTGGAATCAGCTTCCAGTTTGTGTTCGGGCGGCAGACAGCCTATCCGTTTTTAAGAGTATGCTTAAGACCTTCCTTTTTGATAAAGCTTATAGTTGATAAAATAATCTAATAAGAGTGCATTGACGTAGACACGTTGTGCCTCTTCACCTATACATTTTAGTTCTTACTCTTTTTCCTTACTGATGGTATGTCATTTGGTTGTGTGTAGACGGTGGAAGCAGGGAGAGGCATTTACGTGCCTTGATCCCTGCCGAGTCGACGCACAACTGTTGATTGGTGTCAGTGCCAAAAAACTTTTTAGGAGCAATGCGCTCATGGTATAGATGTGGCGCATACATCTTAATTCCTACTCTTTTCCCTCACCCTATCCTAAGGGAGTGCATGTACGTAGACACGTTGTGCCTCTCCACCTCTGTTCCCTACTTCTTACCTACTACCCTTTTCCCTCAACCTATCCTAAGGGAGTGCATGTACGTAGACACGTTGTGCCTCTCCACCTCTGTTCCTTACTTCTTACTTGCTATCCTTTTTCCCTCAACCTATCCTAAGGGAGTGCATGTACGTAGACACGTTGTGCCTCTCCACCTCTGTTCCTTACTTCTTACTTGCTATCCTTTTTCCCTCAACCTATCCTAAGGGAGTGCATGTACGTAGACACGTTGTGCCTCTCCACCTCTGTTCCTTACTTCTTACTTGCTATCCTTTTTCCCTCAACCTATCCTAAGGGAGTGCATGTACGTAGACACGTGTGCCTCTCCACCTCTGTTCCTTACTTCTTACTTGCTACCCCTTATCCCTCAACCTATCCTAAGGTAGTGCATGTACGTAGACACGTTAGTTTAGCTGCTATAGGCTTAGACTGTCGGGGGACACCTTACTTCTTCCTTCTGTCTGTCTGTACCTGTGTACTCTCATGTTCCGAATAACCCAGCTTCCCTCAAATTTCTTTTTGGTGTCTATATCTACACCGGGGTCCTGAGTTGTGGCTGATCCTGTTGCTGTGGTCCTGTGTCCTGGATCCTCTATCCTGAGTTCTGGATTTGAGTCCTGGACTTCGAGTCGTGGCTGAACCTATCTCTGCGGTCCTGCCTGACTCTCATCATACTACTTCCCTGATGGCTCCCGCAGGATTGTTGACATCCTCGTGGATTCATCTTCTTATTATAGACACATGCATTTCCAAACATTTGGTCTACCTACGCTGTAAAATGTATTATCTCTTCGATTTACACACGGCATCTATTGCACGTCTGTCCGTCCTGGGAGAGGGATCCCTCCTCTGTTGCTCTCCCTGAGGTTTCTCCCATTTTTCCCTTTAAACTGTGGGGTTTTTCACTTTTTTGGAAGTTTTTCCTTGTACGATGTGAGGGTCTAAGGACAGAGGGTGTCGTATTGTCATACTGATATTCTGTACAAACTGTGAAGTCCACTGAGACAAATGTAACATTTGTGATATTGGGCTATATAAATAAACATTGATTGATTGATTGATTATTTAAAAAAACACAACACAAAGGATTTTGCCAATACCTATACATTATGACACCCATATTCTAGGGTTTTCCTTTTTTTAAATGTATTATTCACAGCTCAAATCTTAGCATTGGGCAGTGTTTATTATATATATATGTACATAAGTAATATAACCACACTGTATACATCGGTTTATATCCTTATACTGTCTATACCATACTATCACTATACTGTCAATACCGTTTATACTGTACATACTTCATCTATTTATAGCCTATTTATAATTATTCATTCATTCATTTTGAATCTGAATCTGAATCTGTTAGTCATTTTAAATGTTGCCTAATAATGGGAATCCCAACAAACAGTTTTGTGGGTAAGTGTGGGTGGGTTTGGTAGTCATCCTCTCTGAGTAATGGCCATTCCAAATTTGAAGAAAAAGGAAAATAAATATATATATATATATAATAAATATTACACAGACTAAACAGGCACTGGGCAAAAAGTATTGATACTGCATGATTTGTAAAATACATTCAATAAGTAGAGGTTGTGTTTGGTATTTAAAATCAAACTCATTCATAATAACATTAGTTTACCAAAGTGCTGCACAATGGAATATAACAAAACAACAATAAGAACAATAGTAAACATTGATAGTGAATTGAAAGTCGATCAAATATGTGTTTCATTCACTCCTGACCTTCAGTGCGACATCTCTGCAGACACTCTCTCTCGTTTTCAAAGTTGTTCTGGTTGCCCATACAGCCTCCGTAATTGAAGAGTGCACAGCTCATGGAGGAGGAGTTGTAGTAGTAACGCTGGTGCAGCCCGAAACATGGGCCTGTATCTGGTGCTGCTTTACAGGACTCTACGTGGAGAAGTAAAGGGAGGATATTCCTATAGTTTCAACACCAGAATCAGCATCTCTTATCCTGCATTCAACACACATTCATTTTCACGAATGTCCTTTGTTTTGCAATAACATCTTAGCGTTTTGGGGTTAAGCTGATCTTACCGCTTCCATTGAAAAGAGGTGTATCATCACCAGAACCCTCGACATCTGCTGGAACCAGAGAAGGCACCACGTCTCTCCTCCTCCTCTGCATCACAGCCCAGACACAAATATCATCACTTATCATGTTTATAGCAAACACATATGTCAACAGCATACAACTTTTATTGTACTGTGAGGTATCTTAATGTATATAACATGTATATACAGTATATTACTTATTCCTTTATTTTACTTGCAACATTATGTCTCCTCCCTTTTATTGATTTATTTGTAGGTTGCATTGTTGGAAGAGCCTAGGACTTGAAATTGACAATAACTGTTCTTTAGCTGTTGTAAATACAGTATGACAATAAAGTTGTTGAATCCATACACAATTAAAGCTATGAAGACAACTCTTTGAAACTGATTTGGACGGCAACACAATTTAAAACTACATTGCAGCATTTTGTTATAATAGTTATAGATGCCATGTAAAGCCACAACATCAAATGCAGTGTCCACCTAAACTCCAATGAGAGCGACAATGAGTGCTTTTATTTATTATATATAGAAGGTAAATTTTGGTGCTCATATCTGTAGTTTTACTCCAAATACTGCTCAAAGGAATATAGAAATATTTTATTAAATTAAAGCACAGTAGATTTGAATCACTCTTTAAAAAACAATAAAACAAGAACTATATTAAAAGTATTAATTGAATTGCCTTCAAATTAAATATATAATCTCAATAAGACCCTTCAGGTTAGATCGATTGAATGTATTTTGAGTACCTGAGCCTCAGGCTGAGCTGTCGGCTCCGCCACCACCTCTCCAGGAACACAGTCGCCTGCAAACATTTTAAATTAAGACATTTAATACAAGACAACCATGCACTTTATAGCCAAAAAAAGTCTGACTGTATTTTAAATTATGCTTGTGTTCGTGCCAAAACAAGTATTGCACATAATTACAATTAAAAAAGAGTGGAAAATAAACAACTATACAATATATACATCTCAAAAAACAAGATAAAGCCGAACTAAATGAGTGAAAATATAAAAGGTGATGCGAGAAAAAAATATGTAAACTGTCTGACAAATAAGACACTATTGACGGGCTAAATTACAGCCAACACAATATAAAAGTGGGATATTATTTACATTAAGTGTGCAAAAATGACATATTAAATTAAATATAAATGTAAAATATACAGTGAGAAGTTATAAGTCCAGTAATGATGTGTGAAAATCTATATTTTACCTTTGTTCTGCTTAATTGTGATATTGTCATCACTCATTCCCTGATCTCTGACCAGTGTTTTGAAGTCCTCCAGCACCGTGTCTCTCACCGTCATGGATCGACCTAGACATTAATAATAAAGGGACATTACTAAACTGAAACTTTAAATGAGAGGGAAATCCTAATTTAAATAATTGTATTGAATATTTGAGATGTAAAAGAAATACAAACAGGGTACCGAAGTTAATAAATAAACAAGATGCAGTGCGTATTTTGAGAAATTTCACTCACTGAAAAGCTTAAGTGAGGTGCTCGCATCCCCTCCTGACTTCTGTTTGCTCATCATTATAATCGCATACTCATTGTAGTTTGTGTGAACCACATAGCCATCCACGTCTGCCCCCCACTCTGTTGAAAAGACAGGAAGTAATATTAAAACCTGTAACAACTTCATGGACCAAATGTGATCTTAAAGCTGTATCACTGCAGGATTTAATAGAGGGAGACGTTCTTGCAACATGGTAGGAGAATCGTCCTGGTGTGGTGGTCAACCCAAAATCCACAGTCATCTCCTTGCACGTTCCTTGTCTGCAAATACACAAACAACAAGACTTTTAGATATAAACTGTCCACAACAGCTTCATCTGCGCAGAAGATATGATTGTTTTATAGTACACAGTAGGCTTCGTCACTGCAATGCCACAGTGTAGCAATTCTCTTTTGCAAGAAACAGAATTAGCCTCATAACGGATACAAATACCTACAGTTTAAACATTTAGTATGCAGACACATTTTAGAATAATGTAATTCCATTATTTGTTCTTGTTTGTGTATTAAAAACCTTTTCATCATGATTTAGTAGATCATATTTTGTATTATTAATGTTATCTATCCGAGTAAAAAGTAAATATTCCCCCATGAAGATTATTCGTAAACAGGTAGAAAGTGAAATAAAATGAAAATACTCAGGTGAAATGGTTTTGTGATATTCTAACTATAGGATAAACTACGATGTCTGTACATTATGATTTAACACACATATAAATCTATTTGTTAAAGGTCTTGATATCTGATTATGTAGGATTAACCTTTTTGTTATAATATTTAAGGATACACATTTTCAGTGTATTAGTATGTTTGTGTGTGTACATGTGAACCCCTTACAAACCTGAGTACCCTCCGAGTGGCCTTGACTTTGCCCTGAGTGGTGCCGCTCTGCAGAACCAGTGTACCGATGGCTGAATCCCCCCTCTGACTTTGCATGTGGGGGCATGAACTGGCACTGGCAACATCATGCCATGTTCCCATGAACTGTCAGCAAACGGTAACATAATGTTTTTACATATTTCATAATAATACACTTAGAAACCTCACACTGAAATCGGTACTGGTGTTTCAGTATACCAGACCAAGAAACTAAAAACAAAAGCCTAACCCTAGAAAAATCAACTTCACATTTACTATATAAATAAAGATGCAACAAAATGAAGTATTAAAAAAGAAATTGTTTGGCACTGCTTGCTTTAACTGTCACTTCACCGAACACTCGATAGGGGCAGCAAAAAATAGATAATATAGACAAACAAAAAAAATATGCCACAAGAAAATCTATTTCTATGCAGACGATGGTATACTTACTTATATGTACTTAATATTAAATTGTTATATTACTTATGTGTACTTAGTATTCATTTATTTAAACTCCACTTTCCTGTGTTTGAGAAAATGTAGTCTCTAGCCCAAAGTGCTTAAAAATACTCAACAATTGACACAGAAATACAATGTAGGTTTTATGTTATTTTCATTATTTATAGGTCCTTCATATAGGGAGGTTCCAACTGCCTGTAAGATTAAACATTTTCATCCCAGAAATATTAAGTAAATGTTATTAATTGTATAACAGACAGTGGAAAAAAGATCACATTAAGTATTGCATTTCTGACCAAACAAAATAATACACTCTAAACTGCAGAAGATTATACATAAGAGAGTTAAAATAACATGCAGTTTGCAGAGCTCACCTGGGCCAGATCAAAGTTCTCCTGCGAGGGGTAGAGAGGGTCTGGGAGGACCGGGACCCCCTGGAGGGTCCACGTCCAGGCCAGCAGCAGCAGGGAAACCTGAATCACAGCGTTATGCATCCTATCAGGGGGTCCGTTCACTCGTGTCTGAAAGGAATGATCAAAGACCCTGAATCCAGGAAAAGGGCCACCTCCTCACTCCTTCTTACCCCCCCACCCTCCACTCTTCAAACGGGGAGGGGGCATTGACCTGTGATTTGTGTGCTGTCCATGCACCCACTCCCTCCCACGCACAGCAAAGTAAAAAACAAACAAGTAAAGAGGCAAAGTTCGGATCCCTGTCTGTCTGACAGTTTGGCAACAACAATAAATCAATATGTATCGCACTATTTGAGAAACTAACGAGTCATTTCTCCATGTACAGTTTTCTTTTGGAACAGCAGGCTATATAACAAGTTATTGCATATATTAAAAAATACAGTATGTACAGAAAACCAATACACATTTTAGTGACATTATTAATTTATTATATGTTTCCCATACATTTTCTTTTTAGGCTTTGATTTCTTTGATCTTATGTATATTGCTCTCAAGAATTGATTTCATTATAAACAGGAGAAGACATTTAAATTGCTACTGGTCCTTAAAAAGAAATGAAGCAACAACAGAAAAAAAGTTCTTTTAAGGTTGGCTGGTAGTGATATTAACATTCATACAGTGCGTGCTGTACCCATATGAAAGTCAGTAATAACAAAAATGTGTTTATTCTTTTAGGAAAATGTTTTTTCACACTCAGCAACATAAATAGTTTTACATCATAGTCTGGTTTGTGAAATGACACTCCTTTTCCGTTGTTTCACAGGATCAGTCACCCTGTAACAGTAAACAGATATGTTTTAATATGGCTAAATTCAGAGGTGGGAGAAGTACTCAGATCTTGTACTTAAGTAAAAGTAGAAGTACCAGACTGTAGGAATACTCTTTTACAAGTAAAAGTCCTGCATTCAAAATGTTACTCAAGTAAAAGTACAAAAGTATTAGCATAAAAATATACTTAAAGTACCAAAAGTAAAAGTAGTCATTATGCAGATTGGTCCATTTCAGAATTATATATATATATGATATGTTTTGATTATAATTATTGATCATTAAAGTGTTATCAAAGCTGGTAAAGGTGCAGCTAGTTTGAATGACTCTGTATACTGCAGGGTAGCTTGTACATTTACTCCAGGTGTAACTAAAGTCTGATTTAAGTGTTGATTATATTTCACATTATAAATCCAAATCTGCAAAGTAACTAAAGGTATTCAATACATTAAATACATAAAAAGTAGCACAAAATGGAAATACTCAAGTAAAGTACAAATACCTCAAAATTGTACTTAAGTACAGTGCTTGAGAAAAATGTACTTAGTTACTTTACACATCTGCCTATATTAGACACAAAATATCATATAAACCATTTTTTATTTATTAAATATGAGTAGGCATACATTGCTTATTCTGGCATGTGTGAGGATGTGAAATAAAAAGTGTAGGGGTGGAAAAGGCCTCATGTTGTTGTGAAGGGGATTTATTTATCAAACATGAATAAATAATGAACCATTCAATTGTCTTTGTTGTATTTAATTCTTGCAAGAAGTACTATTTGCAGAGTAAAATATGCAGAATAGAGTTTGTGTTGGATGTTTAAACACATGAGGGTGTGAAGTTCGTACCTGGGGCTGAGTTGAGACGGGATTTGTCTCCTGCTCACCTGAACACTGACCTGGGAATACAGTGAGATATACTTTCATTTATTTCTGTGTGTCAAGAAACGTCAGGGTTTTAAGAATGACCAGGTATGATCAGTAGTCCAGGCGTTACCTATATTCTGATTCATGATGAGAGCGTCATCACTCAGTCCATGATCTCTGACCAGCGTCTTGAAGTCTTCCAGCACAGCAGCACTCACACTCGTACTCCGACCTGATGGGGACATCACTACCATTACACAAACTGATAAATTTTTCTATGAAAAAACACTAATTCACAAAAAAAGACAACACATTAACATATTCATATATTTACTTGTCACTCACTATAAAGCTTGATTTTGGAGGTTTTAGTTCCTGAAGGTTGCTCAGTGCTCAGCAGGAGCATCATTGCGTACTCATTATAGTTGGAGTGAACCACGAATGAATCAACGTCTGCTCCGAACCCTGGGGACAGAAAAGTGAATTTAAAAATTATGAGTTTAGTTTAGCATTAATAATAGCCTGTTAAGTGCAAGATATGTAATTTCATGCCACAAAGGGTGTTTCAATTAAATCAATAACAAAAGTGAGATTGGGGACGTCACAAAGTAGCTAAGGATCATGGGTCAGCTTCTCCTGGTTAGAATGTATTATTGTTTATCGTTCAGGACATTTTGGAGCTGGCGGAGGTCTCCCCCTCCACAGATAAAATGGACCTGATCTTTTAAAATGTGTATCAATGTGTGTGATAACTAAAGACCCAAATGTGTGATTAAATAAATCCTCTACCCTGTTAACATAATAGTAAACCATCCAAGATCTAAAGAGTATATGGTGAAAACTTGACTTAAAACTGGATGAAAAGTACATTTCTGTATGATCTTGCACAGATGAAAACCAAAAATGAAACCAGGTTGAAATGGATTGTTGTCATGATTCAAAATGACAGATTTGCTCTATAAATTCAAAAAAGTTACTACAACTTAGTAATTCACTTAATAATGTGGGTCCGGGGACATGAACACAATACATTAACAAAGGATGACGACAGGAAGGAAGCTAGAGATACATACTTGCAACATGGTTGAAGAATCGTCCTGGAGTGTCGGTCAAACGATAGTTTGTGGATCTGTGCTTACACGTGCCATTCCTACTGTACATACAGGCACACACACAACAAAAGCAGAGATTAAACTAAATACAGCACACTTCAAAATACCAAAAATGGCTTGCAAGTCCGACCTGAATCTAGCAGACGTCATGGTGAAGTTCCCATCAGGAGCCACTTGTTGCAGATCAAGTGCAACAATGACAGGGTTCTCCCTCTTGTCCTCCATGTAGTAAGGACAGGAGGAAACCACCGCTACCTCATTCCACTTCCCCATGAACTGCAGGAGACAAATATAATGTCGAGCAAAGCATTTCACATGGCAGAAAAGATGGAGGAGGAAGGAATAACCTAATTTGTTGTCATCTACGAATGAATAAAATCTGTATTTTAGTCCACTTACCTGGCCAAGGTCAAAGTTCTCCTGTATGGGAATGAGATCATCTTGGAGTACAGGGCCGGCCTGCAGCATCCAGGCCAACCCCAGGACCAGCAGAGACCCCAGACTCATCGCTCCCTGCATCCTGTCAGACCCTCAAAGTGACTCACAGGGTTTTTTGTAAATTCCCTCCCTCAACACTACCAAGAAAAACCCACACAACTAAAAGAGCAAAGTTCTGTCTCTTTATCTTAGCGTGTGTGTTCACTCGATATGATCAGCAGAGCACCACTGGACTTCAGAATGTGAGGCTAAAACAAACAAACCAATCAATACCTGTCAGAATTTTAAAGCTTTTTGAAAGGGTTGTATGAGGTACTTACCAGGTTAAGCAGTAAGAAAACATAAATATAGTGTACATTTACACTGGTATTGATTTGTATAGTGTCTAAAAATAAGTTGTATTGCTGCCCCACTTCATGGCAGTACATTGCTTTGCTTCAATGCCAGAACTCCTGTCTGTAAACTTGGGGTGTATCGATCACCATCTTCTGTAGGTTAAACAGTGATTATGGATAAGTAACTCAAACAACCTCACTTTAAAAAATCTCCACTTTTCCTTTAATATCTGATAATACTAGTGAAAAACGCAGCAGTGATGTCACTAGATTGCACATTATGTTAGGTGTTATTCACAGAAGGGACAGTGTTGTGGAGCCCTGTCTCTGCCCCCTAGTGTTCACATGTAGAACACACACACACACACACACACACACACACACACACACACACACACACACACACACACACACACACACACACACACACACACACACACACACACACACACACACACACACACACACACACACACACACACACACACACACACACACACACACACACACACACACACACAGTTTGAGAAGTGGGGGGGACACAAAACAGGGGGTCCTCCGCAATGAACATTTTTCTCAATTTAATTTAATTTCCTGCCTTTCTACAAATATATTAGGGACAATAGTGTTAACAAATCCAAGAAAAATGTGTAGTGTATATAATGAGTGTGCACACTTATCTAGTATCCTATCCATGTGAACCTGTTTTATTTGTGATGACCTCACATCCTCTAGGGGGGTCCCGGGGCATGCACCCCGGGAAGATTTGTTTTCTTTAAATCGAAGCTAAATGCATCAATCTGGTGCACAAATGAAGAGATGTATGGATACAGTTCTCAACACTCATATAAAACAGAACTGTATATATTTTAATACTCCAAAAAACATTAGAATATGCTCACAAGCAATAACAAATCATTGATAAACTCCTCTCTATATCTTTATCTTACCTAGTCTGCATTCTTTCTTTTTATTTATGCATATTTGACTAATCACTCCCCTTTGAAACTGTGTTTTTTTATTTTTGTACTGACCTATAGATAGTACACATTGGAAGGATTTCTTAACTTATTTTATATACAACTAATATTACATAGATGGAAATATTTGTTTACATAGATGACCAAACCGTTTGAGACCCACTGAGATAACTCGACTAAAGTTTACAATCTAATCGCTCAGCGAGTTCTTTACCTCCCTGAGCGTTATCTCTCTCAGTCCGACAGGAGAGAACTCTCCCTCTCCTTATTGTTGAAACAGCTTCTAATTCTCCGTTAGCTCCGAGCTAGCACCAGATGCTAACAACAACCCAATCCTCCGTGACGATGACCGCTTGCGTAAAAATAAATAATAAACACATTTAAAAAGTGGGGGGGACACAAATGGGATTTTGAAAAGTGGGGGGGACATGTCCCAGTGGAAATCACACACACACACACACACACACACACACACACACACACACACACACACACACACACACACACACACACACACACACACACACACACACACACACACACACACACACACACACACACACACACACACACACACCACACACACAC